CAGAAGACGCTCGGAAAGCGGTCCCTTCTGCAGTTTGGTGGCTGTCTCGCGTTGTCTGGACGGCGGCAGCAGATAGCCGCCATAAGCACGTCTGCCCGGCTCGGCCGAGGCGAACTCGAGCATCTGATTGACGTCGGTGAGGCTGGCGGTTTCGTTGCCAGTTGCTGGGGCGAAGGGAAGATGCGACAAAAGTCGGTCGCTACCTTCGGCATGTGTCGATTGCTGGCAGAGTGGACTGTCTGCTGTCGAGGGGGCGCTTCTGATTGGCGGATTCGAGGGGGTTCGAGGAGGATGAGCAGCGAAATGGGGTGCATTTGGACAAAAAGCGGACGGTCGCAGAGCGGTTGGCGGCAGCCCGACAAGAGAGGGGAAGAGGGAGTCTGCAGAGGCAGAGGTGGAATTGGTAAACTGGACAAGTGGGCATTGAAGGGTTGTTGGTGGAAATCTCGTCGAAATGGTCGGTGGCGCCCGCTTTTGGGCAACCATGCCCAGGGCTGCCGTAGGATCGGGCAGACAAGAGGGTGCCAACAAAGAGTGCAGAGGCTGGAGGACATCGGAGGTGGAAAATGGGGCAAAGGGGCTCGGCAAAAGGGAGGACGAGCCGGTGAAACAGTGCGAACTCATCCCCTCCGACGTGGAGATGGTGTTCATCCCTTTGCTGGTCGTGGTGGCCGGGCGACCGACTCGCCAGCACATCCGATCCACCTCCACCACGTCATCATGCTGGTTGCTATGGCAACCTGTATTGGCGTCGATGGGTGGAGCTGTAGCGGGATTGGACTGAGGATACGTCGGCCACCAGAGCGACTGGGCCAGGGGCAGATGGCCCGGGTAGACGGCGTCGACTGGGCTCTTGGAGGCGGCGTGTGGAGCCTGACTGGTCGGTAGACTGTCGACGGAAGCTGCGAGTCTCGCAGCGGCAGCAGACGTCTTGGCGGTGGTGCTGACGTCATTCTCGAGTCCGACGAGACCGGCATGCCTCAGCTTGACTGGGCCGGCGAACGGTGGAGCTCGAAGATGCGGACAGCCCGGAAACGAGGTTCGGTGGGCAGAAGTGACGCAAGACGTCTTCACAGACGACGACGGCAACACCAACACTGCAGAGCAGATGGAGCAGTGTTGTTCCTTCGGAGAGGGCAGACGAGCCGGATGCCGGTTGAAACCGGGCTGGTTTTGGTCGTC